GAATTTCTACTCTATGATAGTGAGTTGCTTTGTACATAGCATATACACACGGCCAGTTTTCCCATAATCTGAACGTAGAGAACAGCTGAATTAGGAGTTTTGTTTGTAGGCAGTAGTCATGATTTCTCTCATCTTTGCTCTTCTGTTCTGTTTTCTACTTTATTATATTTTTTTCCTAGATATTTACAAAGCTCCTTATTCTTAGATTTTTGAGAACCAATTACAGAGTTTTTTTCAAGTACTGCTTAGATATTTAATTGAAATATAAATTGAATTTAATTGAAGATATCAGTACTTATTACATATATTAATTGGACTTGGTAAGATATACATTTCTTTCAAATATTCTTTAGTATAGTAAGTGAGGAATTAGATACATATCTTCACTTCTTTCCCCAATAAATATTTCAGCAAGAATGAGGACTATCCATTTCTTAGGGCTACTTTTCAAGGCCAAATTGAGTGAGCTTTTGAAAGATTCAGATCAGAAATAAAAAGCTGACAATTTCCTGTTTGTTCTTCAGCTCTTGAGTAATACTTCAATAATCATTTCATAGAAAGTCTCAATGAGAATTCAGTTAAAACCAATATGTAAGTAAAATGAGGGATGATGACACTTTAACACATCCCAGTTCACTTGGGAATAGAAATCAGTTTCAGTTAATAAATGCATTCATTTCTGGTATCCACAGGGGATTGGTTCCAGGACCGCTGTTGGAACCAACTGAGGATTGAGCAACTGTGGATGCTCAAGTACCATATATAAAAAGGTGTATCATTTGCATATAACCTATAAACATCCTCCTATATACTTAAAATTATATCTAGATTACTTATAAAACCTAATATAATGTAAATGCTATGCAAATAGCACTTTGTGCTCCCTCTTAGTCTTGAGGGATTCCTTTGATCATATAATGGCCTTTTTTTTTTTAAATTGTGATTTGGGTGCAAATTTACAAAGCAAATACACTTTCCATACAGCAGTTCACATACACTTTGT